TGCTCGCTAATGGATCCTCTGCAAGATGTAAGAAATGCATCAATGCCGAAATACAATAGTCCATAATCCAGTGAAAAAAGTCCATCCCCCGTTGTCCTCTCACATCAAAATCCACCCACATATTTGTTTTGGACTGTTTTGGCTTGTAAAGGGTGCTTGGTCTGTGCATATTTCTCTCCTGATTCAGACGAGAAAGTAGTACAGATAGAGGCATTTTAGCCGGAAACAAAAATGGATTACTGTGATGTTTTTATCAGATGTTTGGACTCTCATTCTGACGGCACCCATTCACTGCAGAGCATCCATTGCTGAGACACTGATGCAATGCTACATTTCTCCAAACCTGATGGAGGAACAAACTCAACATCTACATCTTGAATGATCTGAGGGTGAGGACATTTTCAGAAAATTTTCATTTTTGGCTGAACTATTCCTTTAAGACAACATGAAATAACCACCATTTGTAATGCATTTAACTTCTGTAATGTGCATTGCAGAAACAGGACTTTCGTCCATTCAGAGCTGATTGGATTGTGTATATTGGGTTATGATTACTATAGTCAATAATACTATATTATTTGTCTTGCATTGCTTACATCAACACAAAAGATATTTCAAGGATAGGCAAAGTTCTTGCAATGCAATGAAAACAAAGACCAGCATTTATTTTTTTGATTTCATGTTGTCTTCAAAGACAAACTTCAAAGTTACTAACTAAGCTACTAACAGACAAGAGAAGAACGGCACTCGACTCAGACACATGCTGTGATCCTGCATAATCACGGCCAAAAGACGAACACACTAAAGCCATTCTTCACACGTTAGCATCGGTTCTCGGGTTACCTTTGGGTTTGGTAGCACTCAGCGAGCGAGAGTGCGGGGGAAGAGCAGAGCTCTGGGACAGAGGGGCAGTAGTGCTCGCCTCGCTACCGAACGCAGGACCTGAGCTGCTTCCTGTGAGGGGAGGAAGTGTGGGCTTTAACCCTCATATGAAGCTTACGTAACAGCCAAACATGCTTTAAGATCACTTGCTTAACCAATGCTCACTCAATTTACCCTTCTCAATATTTATTTAAACATATAGGAAAAAAAGGTTTTGTGCATCCTCTCCAGGTTAAGTGTTACTGAATTTGCAGAAAATTTCCATTTAAGATCATTCAAACACACATGACTTGCAAAATGACTGGCAAAGGATTGAAAAGAGCAATATCTCATCTAATAATGTAGCCGATGGCAACAGAAGTACATTTTTTAAGGCAGGACTCGAGAAGGGTCAACTATTTTTTCTGGTTCTTGGCACATATTATGTGCACATTCATTCAATATGTGCAATTTGATATGTACTTGTGAATATTCTGTCTGTCTATCTAACAGTATTTATCCAAAAATGGCCAGCTATCCTCTTAACTTGCACTCTTTTCTATGCCACATCAGCAGCAAAGGCCACTTCAATGGCAAGAACAGGACAGTTCAAAATATAAGAACAAGGCAAGACACCACAGGTGAGGACAGTAAAAAATAATAAAACTTAACAGAACATTAATAAGGCTAATAGATATCCCCATACTTCCCCCGTTGATTAAATACATTCATTGTTTTGTATTACAATTGTTTTAATGTCATGTTTAAATATGCAAATGAGGAATTATTTAATTAAATATGCACCAAATTGCATACATTTCCAGACAAAAAACTGAACATTGGATAAAGCCAGGTTGAACATGTTTGATTTTGCTGATGTATTAAATGTTTTTACAGAGGGAATTTTGGATTGTATCACTACATAAATCAGGGAAAAAAGCAATTAAGCATATATATTAAGCATATTTTTTTTAAATAAAATGTTATGTGGACAGCAAATTATTTGTGAACAAACCCCTCTGTAAAAACCTTCAGAATATAGAGAGGAGCAAAACTCTGAAGTTTGCTTTATACAAGTGCTGCTGATGTGGAGAAAAGAACAGCCTTGTTTTGAAAGAATAGCCTTTAATGATATTAACAGTAATTTAATTGAATTTTGATTTAATTTAAGTTTATTGCCACATCAGCCTCACAGGCCATTTCATGGCAAACAAAGATTACACATTAGAAAACAATACAGTGGTACACAATACAAATATTAAATAAAGCAATTATAAAACAAAGTTACGTACATCAAATTCTATAAAAGATTCTTTAAATTTAAAAGTTTTTCTGGGTTCATCTTATAAAACAAGTCCTTAAGAGTTTGTCCTGATAATAACCTTTGTCTCATGACATTAAATATCGGGCAGACCAAAAGCACATGTTGCACCATCAACTGAGTCCCGCAATATTGACATTTTGGTGCAGATGCAAATAGATAAAGTGCAATAAAACTAACACTTGAATGTGTATTTCTAATGATTCTCTCCATGTTACGGAAGCATAATAGCTCAAAATTTACTTGTGCATGGTTTTGCCTGTAGCGTCTTGCCTTAAAGCACATCAAAGATTAGTTTGATATTTGGCAAAAATTCGGAAAATTAATTTTGTTTGTTTGTGTATTCTCTTCAAAGCACCCTCTCCAATGCTGGAAGCTACGAGAGCGAGTGTGAACTCACCACCCGTGACCGCCGCTCCGAACGGCTGGGGTACCAGCGGGCTGGAGCTGAACTGGCTGTACGGGGCCCGACTGAACGGGGCATACGACTGGAAGGAAGGAGCCGTGGGGCCGGCGGTGGATGCCAGAGAGGACTGCGCACAAACACAAGAACGACACGGGTCAATATTCACTCTGCCTTCTGTTCTGCAGATACACCTGAACGTGTGAAGCCCACCTGCACGATGGCGGGATCCTGAGGAAGGTTGCAGGTGGGTTTGGGAGGCTCGCACACCGTCAGGTCTTTGATGTCACTTCCTCTGAATATAATGTACTCAAAGACGTCATCCCGAGGAGGGATCGGTCTGTCCGTGGGACGATCTTCAGTGCCAAAGGACTTCACTAGAGGAGAAAACGAGACGGGAAAATGTTCAAATTCACAAAACAAGCAATGTTAGTTATTATCCTCACCACTCCATGTTTTTCTCTAGGTGTAAGTTTGTTTACTTTATATCTGTATTTGATTTAGGCCAGATCTAAAGTAAATTAGGTAAGTGCATTTGTGTGTTCACAGGCCATTTCATGGCAAACAAAGATTACACATTAGAAAACAATACAGTGGTACACAATACAAATATTAAATAAAGCAATTATAAAACAAAGTTACGTACATCAAATTCTATAAAAGATTCTTTAAATTTAAAAGTTTTTCTGGGTTCATCTTATAAAACAAGTCCTTAAGAGTTTGTCCTGATAATAACCTTTGTCTCATGACATTAAATATCGGGCAGACCAAAAGCACATGTTGCACCATCAACTGAGTCCCGCAATATTGACATTTTGGTGCAGATGCAAATAGATAAAGTGCAATAAAACTAACACTTGAATGTGTATTTCTAATGATTCTCTCCATGTTACGGAAGCATAATAGCTCAAAATTTACTTGTGCATGGTTTTGCCTGTAGCGTCTTGCCTTAAAGCACATCAAAGATTAGTTTGATATTTGGCAAAAATTCGGAAAATTAATTTTGTTTGTTTGTGTATTCTCTTCAAAGCACCCTCTCCAATGCTGGAAGCTACGAGAGCGAGTGTGAACTCCCCCCCCGTGCCCGCCGCTCCGAACGGCTGGGGTACCAGCGGGCTGGAGCTGAACTGGCTGTACGGGGCCCGACTGAACGGGGCATACGACTGGAAGGAAGGAGCCGTGGGGCCGGCGGTGGATGCCAGAGAGGACTGCGCACAAACACAAGAACGACACGGGTCAATATTCACTCTGCCTTCTGTTCTGCAGATACACCTGAACGTGTGAAGCCCACCTGCACGATGGCGGGATCCTGAGGAAGGTTGCAGGTGGGTTTGGGAGGCTCGCACACCGTCAGGTCTTTGATGTCACTTCCTCTGAATATAATGTACTCAAAGACGTCATCCCGAGGAGGGATCGGTCTGTCCGTGGGACGATCTTCAGTGCCAAAGGACTTCACTAGAGGAGAAAACGAGACGGGAAAATGTTCAAATTCACAAAACAAGCAATGTTAGTTATTATCCTCACCACTCCATGTTTTTCTCTAGGTGTAAGTTTGTTTACTTTATATCTGTATTTGATTTAGGCCAGATCTAAAGTAAATTAGGTAAGTGCATTTGTGTGTAAACATATGTGAGCCTGCAGCACAAAAGCAGTGTTAAGTCGCTGGGGGATATTTGTAGCAATAGCCAACAATACATTGTGTGGGTCAAAATTATTGATTTTTCTTTTATGCCAAAAATCATTAGGATATTAAGTAAAGATCATGTTCCATGAAGATATTTTGTACATTTCCAACCGTAAATATATAAAAACTTAATTTTTGATTAGTAATATGCATTGCTAAGAACTTCATTTGGACAACTTTAAAGATGATTTTCTCAATATTTAGATTTTTTTGCACCCTCAGATTCCAGATTTTCAAATAGTTGTATCTCAGCCAAACATTGTCCTATCCTAACAAACCATACATTTAGTCAATTAGCAGACGCTTTTATCCAAAGCGACTTACACATGAAGACAACGGAAGCAATAAGAATCAATAAAACAGCAATGATACACAAGTGCTATAACAAATCTCAGGTTTTTTTTTTAATTATACAATAAATAAAAAGACAACAGATAGAATAGAAAAAGAATAGAGCAAGCTAGTGTTAGAGGCCTTTTTTCTCTTTTTGTTAATTTTATAATAAATAAAAAGATCAACACAAAAGATATTTCAAGGATAGGCAAAGTTCTTGCAATGCAATGAAAACAAAGACCAGCATTTATTTTTTTGATTTCATGTTGTCTTCAAAGACAAACTTCAAAGTTACTAACTAAGCTACTAACAGACAAGAGAAGAACGGCACTCGACTCAGACACATGCTGTGATCCTGCATAATCACGGCCAAAAGACGAACACACTAAAGCCATTCTTCACACGTTAGCATCGGTTCTCGGGTTACCTTTGGGTTTGGTAGCACTCAGCGAGCGAGAGTGCGGGGGAAGAGCAGAGCTCTGGGACAGAGGGGCAGTAGTGCTCGCCTCGCTACCGAACGCAGGACCTGAGCTGCTTCCTGTGAGGGGAGGAAGTGTGGGCTTTAACCCTCATATGAAGCTTACGTAACAGCCAAACATGCTTTAAGATCACTTGCTTAACCAATGCTCACTCAATTTACCCTTCTCAATATTTATTTAAACATATAGGAAAAAAAGGTTTTGTGCATCCTCTCCAGGTTAAGTGTTACTGAATTTGCAGAAAATTTCCATTTAAGATCATTCAAACACACATGACTTGCAAAATGACTGGCAAAGGATTGAAAAGAGCAATATCTCATCTAATAATGTAGCCGATGGCAACAGAAGTACATTTTTTAAGGCAGGACTCGAGAAGGGTCAACTATTTTTTCTGGTTCTTGGCACATATTATGTGCACATTCATTCAATATGTGCAATTTGATATGTACTTGTGAATATTCTGTCTGTCTATCTAACAGTATTTATCCAAAAATGGCCAGCTATCCTCTTAACTTGCACTCTTTTCTATGCCACATCAGCAGCAAAGGCCACTTCAATGGCAAGAACAGGACAGTTCAAAATATAAGAACAAGGCAAGACACCACAGGTGAGGACAGTAAAAAATAATAAAACTTAACAGAACATTAATAAGGCTAATAGATATCCCCATACTTCCCCCGTTGATTAAATACATTCATTGTTTTGTATTACAATTGTTTTAATGTCATGTTTAAATATGCAAATGAGGCATTATTTAATTAAATATGCACCAAATTGCATACATTTCCAGACAAAAAACTGAACATTGGATAAAGCCAGGTTGAACATGTTTGATTTTGCTGATGTATTAAATGTTTTTACAGAGGGAATTTTGGATTGTATCACTACATAAATCAGGGAAAAAAGCAATTAAGCATATATATTAAGCATATTTTTTTTAAATAAAATGTTATGTGGACAGCAAATTATTTGTGAACAAACCCCTCTGTAAAAACCTTCAGAATATAGAGAGGAGCAAAACTCTGAAGTTTGCTTTATACAAGTGCTGCTGATGTGGAGAAAAGAACAGCCTTGTTTTGAAAGAATAGCCTTTAATGATATTAACAGTAATTTAATTGAATTTTGATTTAATTTAAGTTTATTGCCACATCAGCCTCACAGGCCATTTCATGGCAAACAAAGATTACACATTAGAAAACAATACAGTGGTACACAATACAAATATTAAATAAAGCAATTATAAAACAAAGTTACGTACATCAAATTCTATAAAAGATTCTTTAAATTTAAAAGTTTTTCTGGGTTCATCTTATAAAACAAGTCCTTAAGAGTTTGTCCTGATAATAACCTTTGTCTCATGACATTAAATATCGGGCAGACCAAAAGCACATGTTGCACCATCAACTGAGTCCCGCAATATTGACATTTTGGTGCAGATGCAAATAGATAAAGTGCAATAAAACTAACACTTGAATGTGTATTTCTAATGATTCTCTCCATGTTACGGAAGCATAATAGCTCAAAATTTACTTGTGCATGGTTTTGCCTGTAGCGTCTTGCCTTAAAGCACATCAAAGATTAGTTTGATATTTGGCAAAAATTCAGAAAATTAATTTTGTTTGTTTGTGTATTCTCTTCAAAGCACCCTCTCCAATGCTGGAAGCTACGAGAGCGAGTGTGAACTCACCACCCGTGACCGCCGCTCCGAACGGCTGGGGTACCAGCGGGCTGGAGCTGAACTGGCTGTACGGGGCCCGACTGAACGGGGCATACGACTGGAAGGAAGGAGCCGTGGGGCCGGCGGTGGATGCCAGAGAGGACTGCGCACAAACACAAGAACGACACGGGTCAATATTCACTCTGCCTTCTGTTCTGCAGATACACCTGAACGTGTGAAGCCCACCTGCACGATGGCGGGATCCTGAGGAAGGTTGCAGGTGGGTTTGGGAGGCTCGCACACCGTCAGGTCTTTGATGTCACTTCCTCTGAATATAATGTACTCAAAGACGTCATCCCGAGGAGGGATCGGTCTGTCCGTGGGACGATCTTCAGTGCCAAAGGACTTCACTAGAGGAGAAAACGAGACGGGAAAATGTTCAAATTCACAAAACAAGCAATGTTAGTTATTATCCTCACCACTCCATGTTTTTCTCTAGGTGTAAGTTTGTTTACTTTATATCTGTATTTGATTTAGGCCAGATCTAAAGTAAATTAGGTAAGTGCATTTGTGTGTAAACATATGTGAGCCTGCAGCACAAAAGCAGTGTTAAGTCGCTGGGGGATATTTGTAGCAATAGCCAACAATACATTGTGTGGGTCAAAATTATTGATTTTTCTTTTATGCCAAAAATCATTAGGATATTAAGTAAAGATCATGTTCCATGAAGATATTTTGTACATTTCCAACCGTAAATATATAAAAACTTAATTGTAATATGCTAATATGCATTGCTAAGAACTTCATTTGGACAACTTTAAAGATGATTTTCTCAATATTTAGATTTTTTTGCACCCTCAGATTCCAGATTTTCAAATAGTTGTATCTCAGCCAAATATTGTCCTATCCTAACAAACCATACATTTAGTCAATTAGCAGACGCTTTTATCCAAAGCGACTTACACATGAAGACAACGGAAGCAATAAGAATCAATAAAACAGCAATGATACACAAGTGCTATAACAAATCTCAGGTTTTTTTTTTAATTATACAATAAATAAAAAGACAACAGATAGAATAGAAAAAGAATAGAGCAAGCTAGTGTTAGAGGCCTTTTTTCTCTTTTTGTTAATTTTATAATAAATAAAAAGAAAACAAATAGATAGAATACAAAAAGAGTAGAGAAGCTAGCTTTGTTGTTGTTTTTAAAGAAAACAAGCAGTTAGTAAATGAATAGAGTGCAAGTCTAAAAGGGACATGTTCTTTTAAAGAATAGAATTAGAATAGAGAGTGCTAGAGTTAGAGAGTCAGATAAAGACGGAAGAGATGTGTTTTATTGTTATTATTATTATCATGTGCGTATTTATTCAGCTTTCAGATGGTGTAAAAATCTCAATTTGACAAAATTGACACTTAAGGCTGGTTTTGTGGTCACATATTTGCATATACAGAGGGAATATTTAGCCAGGGCTACAACATAATTCTCTTCTGTGTGTGTGTGTGTGTGTGTGTGTGTGTGTGTGTGTGTGAGAGAGAGAGAGAGAGAGAGAGCG